GGGCACAATTGTGAACGGGATTTTTTTTATGTCACTTTCCTCTCTCTCATTATTTGCATATAGGAAGGCCATGAAATCCTTAATTTTCTATGGGACAAATCTGAGGCATTATAAAGTGCCTCAGATTATGGTTTAATTTCATTAAGGAGTGGAAAAATCTTCTAAATTGATTATTAAAAATTTATTTGTCAAACATGTAGCTCAGTTCAAAATTTTGCAAGAACAACATGTTTGTATTAATGTCATGGTCTGAAACTTATATTTTCTTGTTTCTATGAAATAAAAGCAAACCTGCAATTAAAGTCCTTAGTATATAATTTAGTCATTGTCTTGTGACTCATCTTTCCTTTAGAATTCCAGTCTTCCACTTAATACTTTCCTGAGTCATGTCATCCTCAAGGAGAAAAATAGAAGCTTACATCAGTGGAGCTAGAAGGCAGTATTTCTATTCCATTGTATAGGCTTCATTATTTAATATTCATCATGGCCTTGAAATCTGACCAGAACAACTCTGGCTTATTGAAGGCTTAGCATCTTTTGCCTTTTACTCATTATTCCCTAATAGGGCATGTCCAGCCGCAGCGCTGTTGATGAATCTCCATTTCTAATTGATGCAAGTGGTTTATTCAAAAGGCAGATTTTCTCTGTAGGGGTCATAATTGGTAATCAGCCTTTACTAATGTGGCATCACAGAGTGCTTAGAGTCAATGGTGAATTAGTGGTTACAGGGGAAATCTGACTTTTTGTTCAACCGAATGAATACCAACACAGTGGTATTCTAGGCTTTAATTATAATGTATCAGTGGTAAAATTTTATATTGTGCTGCAATGACTAGCCCAAAGGCCTGTTGCATATCCAGAGCATCTTTGATATTAGAAATACCAGAGAGACTTAAAATTTTTTAAACTAGCAGTGTCTGTATTTAAAAGCTGTACACCGTGTTGTCAATTATATCTATGTCACAGTTGAAAAAAAAGAATGAAAAATGTATTTAGAGTTGTTAAAAAGATAGAAAGAGATGTATTTATAGGTGGTAATTTGTTAATATACACAATAGGAATATATATATATATATATTTATATATATATGGTTTGTACCTCCAGTCATTGAAGAAATTGTTTCATTATACAAAATTCCATTTATTTAACTTCTTGACTGTTAAGATAAAAATTCTGATTGTGATACATGTATAGTGGGTCTCCATGAATAAATTCTTATTCACTAGCAATTAATTTTCTCAGGACTTTTGGCTTCGTTTGGTTTGGTTTGATTTGGTTTTCAGCCACACCTGATGAAGCTCAGGGCTAACTCCTGGCTCTGCACTCAGGAATTACTCCTGGATGTGCTCAGGGAACCTTATGGGATGCCAGGGATTGAACCCGACTCACACAACTCATGGTACTATCACTCTGGCCCCAATTTTCTCAGTTTTATTGGACAAAAGAGATCAGAAAAATATTATATTTAGTTTTATATAAATATATGAAATTTGTAAAGCCTTCTGTCTTTAGTGGAATTATAAATCACTCCCTGATTAAATTAACTACTATGCACTGCCTGTGAAATTGAATGGTCTACCTGTTAACATTAGCCTAACCTTTATCTTGGTGATTCTAATCTTTTAGAATATAATCTATTTATTAGATGAAAATATATTAAGGATAATCTGAAAACATGCTTTCTATGTTTTGCTTATGTTTTATTAATAAATGACTTGAGTATATTTTAGAATAACTGTACTTAATCCGTATGTTTTATGTAATGTCATGTGGAGAATTCAGGAGAATATTTTGGAAAAATATTGGAAAGGTATACAATTTTTCTTTGTAGGCATTCTGATAATGAAGAAAGTCTTAGTTCTCTGAAATGAGTTTACTTGAAATTTTTATCTAATAGCTAACGCATTTATGCCAAATATATTTCCTCCAAATTCTCAGTTTATTTTTTCCTAATAGTTGGTTTATTATATTGATCAATAAACTACTTATGTGTATCAGAATTACACAGAATATTATGTACCAGGGACAATAATTTTATAAGTATTATTTAATTTTATTTTATAGATTGAAGTGTTTTCACAAAAATACTGGAAATTCTAAATACAACTCACTTATTTCCTACCCACTGTCTGGTCTGACCCCAGAAAAATGCTTATTTTAATGTTCCCTTTTCTTATTTAAGTCAGGAGCCAGAGAGATGGTAAATCAGGTTAGGCACTTGTCTTGCATGCTACCGACCCGGGTCCATCTCTGACAGCCTGTATGATTCCCCAAACCTTCCAGGAGGGATCCCATAATGCAAAGCCAAAGTAAGCCCTGAACACAGTGAGGTGTGGGTGTTGTCCTCCCTCTCAAAGTAAATGCCGACAGTGCCCAGGAATAGAGAGTAGAGTGTAAATGAAAAATGAATTAAAATTCACAGTTGAATCCAAAAAGAATTCCAGTTATTTGCACTCTTGTATTTTTGCAATCAAGGTGGATTATGTTAGGTTAAATATTCTTTTGCTTTGTGTTATTTATTTTTAAAACTTTATCATTATCTTCTGTTTCTAGTTTATTTTTTATGCTGCATAGACCTACCCCTTGTCTTTGAAAAGAGGGCACTTGATGCTTTCTCTATCCAGGTGTTTTGCCACTTTACGGAGTTGTAGCATGACTTTTAATTTAACAGTCAGTGTGTTAGTGGTAGGACTAACATATTTCTATTTGTATGAATAAAAATAGCTATCTGTTTTCAAAATCTTCTATTCACCCCATCACATTGCATTCATCTATGGAAACACAGTCTGGTTATCTTACAAAATTTTAAAGCATAGTTCATCCCATTAGAATGTACTTTTATGTTTTTCTCCCAAAATTTTATTTAAAAACATGGGCCAGAGAGATACTATCATGCTTATAACATTTGCCTTGCATGTATCTTAGGTTCATGGCATAGCATGAAGTTCCCTGAGAACAGAGCCAGGAGTAATCCCTGCTCACTGCAGTATGGCCCAGAAACTAAAATAGTAATAATAATAATGTGGTCATTTTAAATTGCCTAAGTATGAACCTGGAGTTTGGAAGATTATTTTAAAACATTATTTGCATCACTCGATTTCAATATTACTCATGATAACCTCATAGCAGTCTAACAGTACCTTTATTTTTGTTATGTTTTAAGGAAATTATTTTGATAGTGCAGAAAACACTAGTTTCTAAAATTAAGTATTCAAGGCTTAGATTGTTTAGGGTTTAAGACATTCACCTCTATGCAGTTGATGTAGTTGATCCCTGGTACCACATAGAGTCCTGAGCACCACCACATGCATCCTTGGAGGCTGCCAGAACCACTGGGGTGGCTCAGATTATCCTTGGAACCAGGGCCTGAAGAGCACCACATTTCTGGTCCCCAACCTTGTTGGCCAAGAATCAACAGGAGTGGGTCTGGAGTGATAGTACAGCTGTAGGGTGCTTGCCTTGTGTGTGATCAACCAGGGGTTCAATCCCTAGAATCCCAGATGGTCCCCTGAGCCCTGCATGAGTGAACTTTTAGTGCAGAGCCAGGAGTAATCCATGAGCATCACTGGTTTAAACCGTAAGAAAACAGAAAAGAAAGTAATAACCAGTAGGGCCCTTCCCAAATGAATGAAACGTTGAAAATACCGATATAAATTTAGCTTTGATTTTTTTTTAGCTTGGTCTTGGTTTGGGGACCACACCAGTGATGCTCAGGGATTACTCCTGATTCTTCGCTCAGGGATTGCTCCTGGCAGACTTTAGGGACTTTGTTTTTTTTTTTTGGGGGGGGGGGGCTTGCCAGTGATAGAAGCCTGGCCTCCACATGCAAAGAAAATGCCTTACAGAATGTACTATTACTCTGGCCCCTAAATTTAGTATATTTTAATTAAGGTAGAGGTAAAACCACCATATTTTAACATAGTTTCAAAAAATGTTATTTTGTGAATGCCTTTGGGATAAATTAGTGAAATTAATTTCTTGCCAAAGGAAGGCAGTGAGATATTGCAATATCAGAAGCATGGTTTGGATAGATAGAAAATTAATCTTCACCCTTAAACTCCTGAGATACTTTCTTGAATCATTTTTATTGTATTTTAGTGTCCACTTAGCCCAGTACTCAGTATTGGTTGTGGTTCATATTTAATTGTAGAATTTCACTAGATCTCTTTTCCTGGAGTATTTCTTAAAAGAAAAATGATAGAAACACATGCAAATGTCACGGAAACATGACCTAAAATAATCTTCAATTGCTATCTCTTTGTGGAGATTTATATCCAGTGTTGTCAAGCCGAGAATTATCTCCAGTTGCACGCTACAAATTTTGTTACATAAATGGTGAAATTTATTCAGTGGTGTCATTGTAATATGGTTGCATTAAAAGATACCTTTTAATAAATGTACATTTAATAAGTACCAAATCTGGAAAACTCTAATTCTTTGAGCAATCCTAAATGACTTTAACATTGAGAAAAATTGAAAGAGAAACTAGATTATAACATAACCTATTAGCAGTAATATATTTTACTTTTTTTTCAGATCTTCTAGGGGTGGATGTCCCCAGCAGTACATAAATACCCAGAGCCACTCCTGCTGGTACTTATCTGTGCTGATACTTATCTTTGCCAATAGGGCTGACTAATTAATGTTAAAGGCCTGGCAAAGAGGTGCTTCTTAGACCCTATGGTTCTGGGGCCCTTTTGGGCTTCAACACCCATAGTGCTGTGGGTGAGAGTTAGACATTAAACTTCAGTCCTTTCCCGTGCAATTCATGTGCTGTACCCCTTTGAGCTATCTCTTCTATCTTGCTAAAATATTCTTATGTTGATCATCGTATGACTGAAATGCAAACGCGAAAGTGTGTAAGTATGTAACTGTACCACACAGTGATTCACTAGTAAAAAAATATATATATATTCTTATGTATGATTTTATTAGTGTAAATGTGACAATATTATTGTAGCCAAAGTTGTAATAATTATTTGTTTTTCTTTGTGTATAGTCTGAAAAGAATGAAAGTGAACCAGGAAGCCAGAGGATAAAGCCTGTTTTCTTCGAAGATGCGAACTTTGGTCGGCAAATATCCTATCAGCATGCTGCAGTCCATATTCCCACTGACATCTATGAGGGCTGTAAGTAGAACATGAACACGGGAATATTATGTTTTAAAGTAATTCATGTTTAAATGTAGAAAAGGTGAAAATCTGATCCTGTTATATTTATGTGCCATATTAGAATCTTTGGTAAATATTTGTGGTTGCTATTCATACATCATTACTGTGTACTTGTTGGAAAGTGTGACCTTCCTAAAGCTGTCCTTCTACTCTTTAGTAACTCATTTTGCCTTCCTAATTAACATCTGTAAGTTAAAGTCACAATCATATCATTTAGAAACTAAAGCCATTTGTTCTGGGGAGAGAGTTTGTAGAGCTAGAGTAGATGCTTTTCATACAGGAAATTGGGTTCAATCCCTAACACTGCAAAGTCCCCTCAGTAGCTCCCAAGCACTACTACTACTGGTGTGGTCCCTCCAAAATAAAGGAAAGTCAAAACTGTGTAACATAAGTGCAAATATATACATGTTCATAAAAACCCAGAAATGGCAATGGTAAAGAAATGTATATATTACTCTGTAGTTCTCATCATATCTTACTGGTTTTGCTTTTAGTTGTTTTCTCTCTCTCTCTCTGACATACCCAAGGATAGAAGTAAAAGACTCCTCCCTTGTAGTATATTTTTGCTTCCACATAAAAGAAATATTGAGAGAAGTTTAGATAATAAAACAAAAGAGAAAATGAAGGAAAGGAAGATTTTATTGAGAACATTTCCCAGTGAGGGAAGGGGATACATTATTTCTGGAGAGCCACTAAATGAAGTGTGTGCAGTGATGTTTCTCAGAAACACTCATGTTTGACTAAGGGCAGAGCCTGAGGCTTCCAAGGAGCATTTCTACTGAGGGCCGTGAGGATAAGCTGACTCTGAAAAGCTCGCCCAGCATATGCTCACAGCTCCTTTCTGCTCTGCTGTCCTTTCTCAGTCCTCTGTCCCTCATACTCTATTTCTCTTACATGTTAGTGGAATAGTTATTTGAGATTTTCTAAGTCTGCTCCTTATATACTTGTCTGTAGAGACTGGAGTATGTTGAGCGTCCTGAGTACACCCGTAGGTGATTAGTTTTTGGAGTCAGACAACCTGAGTTCAGATACAAATACGATTTGTATTTCCTTAGGAAAATCCTTTGACTTCCTAAATAAACATTTTTATCTGGGTAAAGTGGGGATAAGATGAAGACTAGAAAATATATTTTATGATTTCATAATAGTAGTAGGTATGTAGAATTTTTATTCATGTAAATTATTATTATTATTATTATCATCATTATTCATGGTAGTTAAAGATTACTTACACACAGAGTTGATTCGGGGTAAATCAGCTTTTATTTTTTGGGCCTGGAAAAACAGTGTAGTGGGTAAATTGCTTGTCTTGGATATGGCAGACCTGGGTTCAATCCTTGGCATGCCATATAGTCCCCCAAGCTTGCCAGAAGTGATCCCTGAGTGTAAAACCAGGAGAAATAGCTGGATGTAGCTTAACAAACTAAATATTAGCTTTCAGTTTTTATTATTTGGAATTAGTCATATTTTTTTATTTAAAATGAATTTTTACATACATGTGTATGATTTTTTTTCATAGTAACTGCCATGTTTTATGCTTTTGTAATTTATTTTGTTTCTCCTTTGAATATTTTAGAGAGGGTATACTGTTTTCATGCTATTCATGACTTAAGCAAATGGCTTAAAAAATTAAACACAATTTTTCTCTTAATTGTCTACAATAGAAGTAAATGGTGTATATGATACTATCTGATGATATATGAGAAATCAACATTTTCTTTATAATAGAACTTTATTAGTTTAATTTTTGATTAGGAATCACTGGGATTTAGAATGTTTTTTTACTTAGACCATTCTGTTTTTTTTAATTATTCTTGATATTTGTGATTATATTTGGTTGGCCCCAGATATGGCCACATCCTTGACTCATTTCACTGGACCATTTGTAAAGTTGGCCAAGAATTACTAGTAATTTGAGTTATTTATGTCAACAAAATATTTGAAGTCAGTGTTATTTTTAAATAGTTTAATCCCTGGAGTATTGCAGGTCTTTTTGAAGAATATTTACTTTAGAGACTTGTGTGTAAAAGAAATTAAAACAAAACCTGCTGTGAATGAAACAAATATGTGTGAGTAGAACCTTATTTATTACTTAAGGAGAAGCCTGTTTGTTCAATGTCTGTGGCTCAAAGGGATTCTCTGAACAAATTCATTGATTGATTGTTGTGCCCAGACAAAGGAAAATAAAAAGGTTAAGTGTAATGTGTTTTTAACCTGCTGACTGGTTGATTCAGCCACTAAGGAAAGTAAGATGACTTTTTCTAGGGTTGTCTCAGTACTATTCCCCCTCACCCACTCCCACACTGTGTTTGATGTGATAGCAGAAGTCACTCGGTCACAGCCTCCCTCCACCCTTTTAAAATTGTGGAACACAAGGCGACTGTCATAAGTTGGCAAAGAGAACAACTTCATCTATAAACTTGTCTGTATAATATGTAAAACAGCAATTCAGACCCATTGTGTTGTAGAGTCTGAGAGGTCAGGCAATCCGTGGTTCTTTGACCCCAACTTCTTCCCTTCAAATAGATGAAATTTGAATGAGACTCTTAATATTCTCTTCTAAGGTTTACATAAGTAAAGTAAAGTAAAGGTAAAGGCCCTCCATTGATCGTCGATTTGCTCGAGCGGGCCCAGTAACGTCTCCATTGGAGACTTTGTTGTTACTGTGTTTGGCATATCGAATACTCTGGGTAGCTTGCCGGGCTCTCCGAGAGGGGCGGAGGAATCGAGCTCAGGTCGGCCATGTTGGCCGCTTGTAAGGCGAATGCCCTACCCGTTGTGCTATCGCTCCAGCCCTAAGGTTTACATAGAAAAGTAAATTACTTCCCATCCCCAGTCTGTGCACTGCTCCCACTTCCCTGCCCCTAGTTTAGAAGAGGAATTTCCTTGAAATTTAGGATCAGTGATTTTTTTACAAGTTCTTAAGTTTTCCATCGATTCTCAACAAAGGATATAAGAACTTAGCACATTTTTAAAAATGTGAATATAAATAACAAAAGTAAAGAAACTGTTAAAAACAGTAAAAAATATCTTTTCTCTGAGGAAAAAAATGGAGTTTGGAGAAATGGGAAAAGGCAGTGAATTTGACAGTGTGAGGATGGCACTAGCACTTGGCAGCTGGCGCGTGAAGCATTATACACATATTAAGGGGAATAACTATACTCCAGAAGTTCTGTAGTATTGTAAACCAATGGTAAATCAATTAATTTTTATTTTAGAATAATGAAACATTTTATTGGGCAAGACAGAAAATGTAAGACCAATCAATGTCCCTGAAGGCAAAAAAAAAGATTAAAATTTTCTTTGTCTAAAAACCCTATTTAATATAGGAAATTAAAGCCCTTCAACAATAATATCTCCTGGACTCATTATAATAAACTTCTTATGACTTAGTCTGTAGAAAATTTTTTATACAGACACTAATAACCCAAGTATAAGTTTTCATCCTGCTTTATATCCTGCTTCCAACTTGACCTCCCAATTAGACATCTTTGCTACACCATTCCAAGCCTTAAAATAATGAAAAAATATATATTTGTTTTTAGGATTAGGCTTAACACGGAATATAAAAACAAAGACTCGCTTCACTTAAGAAATAAATATGAAATGGGCTAGAGAGATAGTGCATGTGGTATACCCTGGTTTGATCCCTAGCACTGCATATGGTCCTCCACGCTTTGCCAGAAGTGATTCTTATTTTTTTTTATTAGTGAGACATCATGAGGTACAGTTGTAGACTTCTAAATTTTTGTGCTTGGGTTTCAATTATACAATAATCAAATACCTATCGCTCCACCAGTGCCCATTTCCCACCACCACGGATCCCAGTGTCCCTCCCACCTCCCATCCCCCCCATCCCACCCCGCCTCTGTGGCAGGGCATTTCCTTTTCTTCGCTCTCTCCTTTTGGGTCCTGTGGTTTGCAAGAGAGGCAATGGGTGACAATCATGTTTGATCTATAGTGTACTTTCAGCATGCTTCTCCCATCCTGGGAGGATCCTCCCAACACCCTTTATTTGGTGCCCCCTTCTCTATCTGAGCTCCCTTTTCCCCTAGCATGTGTGGCTGACCTCCAAGCCATGGAGTAAAATCCCTGGTACTAATCTCGACCATTCTTGGGTGTTAGTCTCCTATTTTGTTACTTTATGACTCAGAAGTGATTCTTGAGCGCAATGAAATGATGTAAGCCCTGAACTTTTGTGTAAGTCTTGAGCACATCTGGGTATGCCCTACAAAAGGTAAATTCATTTATAATAGTTTTATAGAGTATTAGAGCCTGAAATTATTTAAACATAATTTATCACATCAGTAAATTACCTGTGTATATATTTTGCTAAAATCAAATGTCAGTAGATACTGTAATTTCACTGATCTGGTTATAGCAATGATAACACTAATAATCATAAGGAAAAATTTATATAATTTACTTAGTATCTTAGTTGGCATTGTTTTCTTATTAGGTATTGCATTTATTATTGCTTAATTAAATAACTGATGAAGGGGTCACTGTTTCTTTAACAATGACCCATAGTAATTAATCAGTTACATGCTCAGAATTAAAAGAAATTTTAATGTTCATGCCTTATACTTCAATCACTAGAATAGCTTATTGATGTTTTGTTTTTGCTGTCTTAGTTTTATTATTTGGAAGGCAGAATTGTCCTCAAAAATTAGCAAGATATTTCCTTTGCATGGATTCATGCATTACTATTTTTGTAATGATTTTTCTAGTTGTCATCATGGTTATAATTTAAGTCTCCATCAATTTTTGTCTAAAATAACAATTGATGGCACATGAAATAACGCCAAGTTGAAGTTGTTTTTAAGAGTGGAGGATGGAGATATAGATACCAGGTCAGGCATTGCCTTGCACATAGTCAACCTTGGTTTGTTCCCAAGCACCACTATATGTCACCTGAGCAAGGACAGGTGAGATTCCTGAGTGCAGAGCCAGGAATG